TATAGTTCACGTCTCACGAGCTCTACTTCAACAATACGTCTCTCTCTGACTGCAGTTCAATTACTCATTACCTACACACACATTATTATTCCGTCACGTTGTTACCCTCTTTTATATACCAGACTATCCTATATCTAGTAAATGCTAGAGTATTCGTCAAGGTACAGGATAGTTCTAGAAACGTGGCGTGACACTAGTCATGTGACCTCGCTGACGCAACAGAGTAATACACACATATATATCAGTTACGTCTAGTTATTTCTAGATAATATTCACTAATTAATTTATACTCTGTATTTCGGCTTTTAATCTGCCGCTGTTTTCAGGTAGGTTCTTGAAGGAACTGTTTGAATTGTGCGTGCCAGTATTTTATCCTGAATCTTCTTGTCAGATGGGCTACAGCTTCTTGTGGTGTGCTTTTGTAGCTCTTCAGGAAGAGTAAAATATTTGACAGTTGGTACTATGTCTTCTTTCTGTCTTCCAAAGCTATCTACAACTGTTTTAATGCTATGTAGCGACATCACTTTACCATTCCACTTAAAAGGATAGAGGCCTGTTGTTCATGTTATCATAATTTCGAATATTTTATATAGCTTGAAAGACGGCCTTAGTTAAAAAGTCCTCCTATTTTTGATCACAGCGGTTTTCCCAAGGACTCTTCACGTCTAAGTATATACTTATCACATACTACAACGTTCTTTCTCATTTTTTGCATCTGTTTATTTTCTGCGTAGGTCACTGCCACGTGGTTTAAGCGGATCACACTAATTGGATAATTAATCAGGTTAGTTTTCTTGGTAGATTAAAATAGGCTCTGGTAACACCTATACATAATGAAAACAATATATTCGATAAATCGACTTATAGGTCAGTAAATGTACTATCATTTACCACTAATTTTTCGAAACAGAGCATTTTGATTAAAATATTTTTACCCTCTTTTTTAGCTGCTTTTTCGCGAACAGGCTATGAATATGGAACCATGATGCTCAGAGTACTGTAATACTGGCGAAGACCCTTGGACGAGGTCATGCATCTATACCACTGACCTATACCTATAGGCCTATACCTATTTGCTACATGATCATCTCTGAACAAACTTCTGGCATATTGCTCCACATATAGCCCCTTAAAACATATTTCCAGTTAATTATCACGTAGAAAATAACCTTTTAAGTACAAACGTAAATCTGTAGCGCAATTTATATAAGGGTATCCTCAAGGGTCTATTTTAGGCCCTCTATTTTTAACATTTTTCTAAATGACATTTTTAGTTTATAAATGACAGTAATATAAGGATAAGCAGATGATAATATTCTACCATAGGCACATTGTGAGTTTGATGGTGTTAAAGTTGTGCTTGAATTGGAAAGCGTTAGATGGAGAGCTGATATTTAGAAAAAGGCATGAAAACAAACTCCGATGAGTGTCAACCCAAGGACCAAAATCTCAAAAAGATTAATTCAAGTTCCAACAACGTATGAAACTAAAATGCAAAGATGAAGTTAAACTCCTCTGTATCTATTGTGGAATTCATATTAACACATGCCACACGAGTCAGCACAGCACCTAGTACTGAACTTAAGAAGGTCAACAGGGGAGTCATTCCGGAAACCGGTGATTTAGGGTTAGTTATTTTGATAGATCTTCATGAATGAAGCTCGGCACAACTTCTCAAACGAAAAACAAAACAAAAAACAACTAGATTTTAAAGAAAGTATGGCATGATGTCATCAATATGGATTATAGTATGGTGGTACCATATTGGGCATTTTATCATTCTTCTTACATTTACTCTTTATTGCAGAAATGACATTTTTAAATTTGAGAATCGCGAGGGAAATCATATTGTAATGTATAGTGCTTCAACTTCAACACTGCATCTTTGGGCTTTACTGTGCCTTTAGTTTCACAAATTATTGAAACTAATGATTTCTTACATACGCTTCTAATCCCCTTTTGAAGTTAACGATACTATTATGCCCGTCTTTTTATATTTCGCTGTCAATGCAGTAATCAATTGACGAATCTCCGATTCAGTTGGCATGCCAAATCGATTGAGATAACTTCAAATAAGTTGTTCCCTCATCCGACCTGGACCCAGAGTTTAGTTTAATCGATACACTTAAAACCATCACATTTACAACAACATCTGCAGC